GAAGAGAATGAGAATCTGCAAAAGCTGTGCATCAAAATTCTTTGATACTTGCTCTACATAAAGGTGTGTTGGCATCCTCGTTTATATATAGAAATCTGAGTGGTTATAAATGGTGTCCTGTAATGAGTAGAAATTATGCTTAAGGGCCGCTGCAGACCTTAGTGGTTAGAGGAACAAGAGGTTGTATATTTAGTTTAAATCTTTTTCCCAGTGTTCTGACAGAATTGAGGCCAAATGTGTGAGCTTCCCATTTTGTTTGCTCCTTGTTGTTTCCCTTGGAAGAGGACATAATTTGCTCTGTAATTCATTAATGTTGATCTTCTTTAAAATAAACAGTAATACCAGAGAAACTGAGTTTTAGAAGTTAAGCCATGCGTTCCTCATAGAGTTGAAACCATGTGTGTGAGCAGGGTACACAGGAGGTCTGTGACCACGTATTGCTGATTTCTCCAATAAATGCCAGTTTGGTTTGCATCAGAGCTGCCATCCAAAATAAGCAAACCGATGAATACCTTAAATTCAGCATGACTTAACTATAAAAGGTAAATCAAACTTTTAAAAAATAATATTTGCAAAGCTCCAAACTGTGAGAGTCTAGGATTGATTTCATGTTATGTAGACCTAAGCTGCAATCAGTAGTACTTAAAGGCGGTAAAGGCAGAACAGAAATCAAAGCGGTCCCAAGCGCTACTGTTGGTAGCCAAAGCCAGCTGGAGCAAAATGCAGTATTGCACGTGGAGCTTCTGAACCTGCCCAGTCTGATTTACATCTACAGAGAGGGTATATCTCCTGAAGGGTACGCTACCAGGCAGTTCCTTGTTGAAAACAAATAGCTTATTGTTACTCTGGTCATATAATATGCAGTAAGTGCTTAACCTGGGCCTCTTCAAAGGCATTTGAACAGGCCTGTGAATTTAAAAGGGGCAATGTCCGCCCCTTATTCTACACCATCTATATCATGCCCAGGTCCCACACTTTCCAATACATCCCAATTAATCACCACCACCTTTCCTCTCTTTTGATATAGACACACAGATATCATTCCCTAAGTCTATGGGCCATCCCTCTCAAATGTCCCTTGAGTTCATTTAGTCCGTGACTTCGGGCTCCCATCTGTCATAACAGTCCTTCAGAGCAGGAGACATGGTGTGTGGTGTTGGATTATTGCATGCTGAAGCCAGTTCTGGTTCCATCACCGCTGCGCTTGTCTGGTTCTATCATAGCTGCACTTCACT